GACGCCCCCCGGGCCCGCCTCCTTCGCCTCCGGAGCCTCCTTTGCCGTCAGCTACGCCGCCTCCAAGGCTGCCTACATCTCGCCAAGCTTGGCTTGATAAACTTTTACCTGCCGTTCGGCAGCCTGCATGTCTTTAGCCAAGTTCGCCTGAGCTTGGATGGCTTTGCCAGCTTCGGCAACCTTCGCTCTGCCGTCTTCGTATGCCTTCTTCGCCTTCTCAGCGGCATTAATGGCTCGCTTAACGCAGAGCCACATGTCCATTGAAGCCTGAACAGCAAAGGAAAACATTAGATGGAAAGAGAAACGAACGGCAGGAAATCGCTAAAAACAGTAGGCACTTACCGAGGCTTGGAGACGGAAGGCGCGGCCAGCCTCCTCCCGAAGGAGCTTCTTCGGCAGGTCCTCGATCTCGGACAGCTCCATTTGTGAACCGAGGATCATATGGTTCACAAACTGTACCGTCTTCGAAGGACATGCCAGAGTGATAGCTTCGGAAGGCGCCTCGTCGTCCTCGGCAGACTCAGTTTGTCGAGGCCGCGTTTTGGAGCAGGGTCAGCATCAAGGTCCACCGTGAACGGCCTCTTGCCTGCAGCTCTGGAGGAGGTACCCTCGGTAGGCGCACCTCGGCTGGGGGATGGACCAGCTTCGGCACGCGTCGATTCAGCATGCATTTGGCGACGGCGCTCGTTGAGGGTCAGATCGTCGAGGTCCACACCTCCCGAAGGCGCCGGTGCCGTTCCGGCCTTTTTTTTCTTCTCCTGCATGCCGAGCATGAGGCGCCTCTTCGAGGATTCGTTCATCCTCTTTACCTCGGCAGCTTTCCTCTCTTCGGTCACTGCGAGAAGGAATCGGTCAGATTCCCGATATACATTTTAAACTTTCAAAATGGAGAAGTATGCTTACTATCGGCAGGGTTGACGAGTTTAGCCTTGATGAGATTGGCGGTGAAGAGAAACTTCGGGTAAACCCTCTCCACGGCCGGGACCTTCAGCCTAACTCTTTCAATCTGCCGAATCTCCGCATGTGTAGCGCTCGGCTGCTTCAACTTGCCTGCACAAAGCAAAACGGAATTAGCACTACCAAAGGAAAACAAGATCTACAAGCCCTACCGAACGGTAGGATAGCCTACCGGCGATTTGGAATGTGGTTGGAATGTGGAAACGGACGGGGTGTCCCGAGGGCGACTCCCAGTCACCGGACAAAAGCACCCGCCGTTTCCTCCACGTCTTCTGGGAGGTCGGAACGGTATTGACGAAGTGACCGCGCTCGGTAGCCTTCAAGCAATTGGCCTGGACCCAGCCCCCGTGATCGGCACATTTCGACTTCGTGACACTGTACAGGTGGGAGAACTGCTCGTACGAGGGCTCTCCCTCCCCAGCCATACCGAAGGCTGTGACTACCCCCATCAGCGCCACCCCGAAGTTAGGATTGAACTGGCCGGGA